TAAACACAACAAAATGTCTCCACCTTCCCCAGAAATGAAGCTAAATGTGGTTTTGAGGTCCTGCCTACACACACTCTCAACCAATCCTGAGTTAGTCTCATCTGTCAATCATGACGTCAGCCTGTTTTTATATCGTCAAACCAAACTGATCAGAAACACTTGAAAAAACATCAGTGAGATAAGAATGAGCATTATTTTAATGTCTACTTTTTTGTTTGGTTCATGTCCCATCTGATAACATGGAGGAGGTTTATAATCTATACTGCAGCCAACCACCAGGGGGCAAATGAAACACTTTGGCGTCCATCTTTTTTTACAGTCTAAGGCTTTTAATCTTTGTCTGTGAGGAGGTGTTTCAGGCTCCGCCCACACTGACATGTCATCCTGTCAGGAACACGTCAGAGCCTCAGTTCAGGTGTGGAAACAGCTGATGTGTTGCTTCAGGATGATGATCCATCTTTATTTACAATTCATAATTGAAATTCATCGTGTTTAAGCTGCCGACCTGAATAAATAAATAAAAAGTGAATGAATAAATCCTTTGGTGTTAAATGGACAGAGGGTCAAGTGTGATCCTTGTGTTTCAGTTTGTTCAAGAAAATAAAAGTCTGAAGTCACAGAAATGAAAGTCAGACACTGAGCTGACAGATGTTTTTGGAGCTTTAATGGGCTCTAACAAACATCCCAGAGGTCTTTGTTGGTGACGCACCCGGATAATAAAGCTGCTCTGATTCCATCCTCACAGGGAAGAAAAGATGAGGGAGGGAGTGAACGGAAAACCACAATAAGTCTTTTCTTTGTCAAAGATTCTCTGTGACTGAATAAACAGAGCGAGACTTTCTGCTCCAGGCGACTTCACCTCTGAGGGTTACAGGCCGGCTCGCTAATCACTGCCAACACAAAACCCCCAGCAGGCTGGGGGGGGGGGCAGATGCCAGACTTGAATGGCAGGTGGGTTGTGATGAACTCTGAAAAGGAGGCATTGAATCCCAGAGAAGAAGCGAAGCCAGCTGTAATTATCGCTGCGCCTTGTGGTTCATTGTCAATTAGAGTGACGGTTGGAGCAAGCGACAGCTGCAGCAGATGGTGGGGGTCTGGATGGGGGGGGGGGGGGGGGGCAGTGACACAGATAAAGGAAGCTTAATGTCAGCAGATATGGAGGCAGCCCCCCCCCTCCATCACAGTGGTGAAGAGGTAATGAGTGAATTTTCATTTTTCAGTGAACTATCCCTTTAAGGTTAAAGTTAGAGTTTAAAGTTTATACCAATGAGTGACCTCACAGCTATGAAGACGTGTGTGTGTGTGTGTGTGCGTGTCAGTGAGGGAGGGGCCCCTCCTGAAAGTTTTCCAACAAACCGCTACTGTCGGAGTCGTCACGCAGCTGCTGAGCATCAGGAATTAAACCACGTTTGTTTACCTTGATTTGGTTTTGTGTTTTTCAGGAAGAAACGTGCATTAGTTGCTGTAAAGTCGTGTGATGTCACACTTGATGTTTTCCGTATGAATGAGTCACGTGACTGTTTTATTTGCACTCAAACACAGATCAAAGCCTTTGTTTGCATTTCAGTTTGGAATCTTCTGTCGGCCGATTGGTCGAAACTGCAGTGATCAGCACAGGTCGACCCCAGAGCCGCAGCCGGCTGACCCCTCCATCCGGGGCAATCACCAAACGTATGTGGGTGATGGGCTGAGTCAGCTCCAACTCGCTGTAGAGATGTCTGTGATGAGGACGGAGCTGCAGCAGAGACAAAGACACGAAGGACTTAGGTCACTATCTGAAGTTCTGACATGTTCCTCACATGTTCCTGACATGTTCCTGACATGTTCCTAACATGTTCCTGACATGTTCCTGACATGTTCCTGGCATGTTCCTGACATGTTCCTGACATGTTCCTCACATGTTCCTGACATGTTCCTGACATATTCCTGGCATGTTCCTGACATGTTCCTCACATGTTCCTGACATGTTCCTGACATGTTCCTGACATGTTCCTGACATGTTCCTGACATATTCCTGGCATGTTCCTGACATGTTCCTGACATGTTCCTGACATGTTCCTCACATGTTCCTAACATGTTCCTCACATGTTCTGTATGTGAGAACAAATGTCTGAGTCAGTGTCTCTGGACATTTTCTGGATCTTCTCCTGCAGCCTCTAGTGAAACATCTGGAACATGTCAGAGTGAGGAGTGGGCGTGTTGACACTGATCTTTACACAGCAGAGTTTAGATGTCATGTCCCGCCTCCTGCTGCTCTACAGGCTCCACCCCTCACCTGAACCTCAACATGACTACACAACATGTGGAACAATATTTTACACAGTTCTATTTTGAGACATGTCTTCAGAGCCTGGAACCTACTTTCTGAGGGGGAAGAAGGATCTGCCATTTCAGAGACGTCCAGCTGGTTGCGATGCCCTGAGCCTCGTCTTCAGGTGTCAGAACACACGCCTCAATCCTGCAGGAGTCCGGGAAGTTCCCTGGACGGACAAACATCAGGTCAAATATTAAATTCAGGACATTGGTTTGAAAAGCAGCAGGAAGTCCCTCCACCTTTGAAATGGTTGGTGTCGACCTCGATGCTGCTGATCGCTCCGGGATGACCGAGACGAAACACCGCCCACTCCCAGCCAGGCACCTCCAGGATCCCCTGCTGGCCCACCTGGTTATAACAACCAGCAGGGACACAAGGACATGAGCAGAGTCACGAACTGAACCTTTATTTACAATCAGACACATGGACGGTTTTGGACAATGAGGACATTTTTAGACAGTGAGGATGTTTTTGCTGACATTTGCTAATTGACAGTTTTAACTTAGTTTGACAAAGTAAGTATCTATTTTTCGTAAAGTTCAGTTTTTTGTGGTTAAACCTTCAGGTGTTTTGGTCTGTCCAGCCTGCGAGCTGTTTCCCATCCGTCCGCCATGTTGGCAGCTCGGCCGAATCCTGTGGACACATCACTCACCATTAGACAACATGATGGGTGAGACCGCTCCAACAATAAAAAAGCTCATGTGCAAATAAATCCCACTAATTCCAACCAATCATATTGCGTGGATGGCCAAAGTGGGCGTCGCTGTAGCCGAGGCAGACTCCCCCATTGGTCAGAGCCACCAGATCGACCTCCTGGTTGGTGGAGACAGACGACCAGTCTCTCTGCCCAATGCCATACACCCGTAGTCTGGATATCCCCCCATCTGAGGACACACATCCGTTTGTACAGTATTAAACCGTCTGTCTGTCTTTACTTATCTTTGTGAGGACCATTGTAAGCAGAGGACAAACAGAGTGAGGACATTTTGACCGGTCCTCACTTCTTCAAAGTCTCGTTTCAGGGTATAGAGTGTGTGTGTGTGTGTGTGTGTGTACCTGGATACATGTTGAGACGCAGGTGTGTGACTCTGTGTCTGAAGTCGACCTTGAAGTAGTTATGACAACAGTCACAGTATCCAGGTTTCAGCTCAGACACACCCACCAGTTCTGGCCACGCCTCTGAGGCCAGCTGTCAATCAAACCACACATCAACTTGCAATCAGTCAGCGTAATAACATTGTCATGTTGCCATGGTGATGAACTGTGGTGATATCCCCCTGTTACCTTGGCAACAGCAGACAGCTGAGTTTCAGAGGCGGCCATGCCGGTTCTGTCTCCCTCCAGGTTGAGGGTGGGGGCGTGGTCTGGTGAGGGACGGGGTTGTTCTTAAGTTCACGTTTGGACATTTTATTTTGTGATTTGTTTAAAACCCAAACCGTTGTGTCTTTACTGTTTGTACATAAACACAATCGAATGAAATTGATTCCTAAATATTATAATCATGTAAATCTAAAATCTCTGATGAATGTCACAAACTACTCTGGTTTAATTAAAGCTTCATCGGACGTGAGAGATGAGAGAGGACAGAGCTGTCTCTACCCAGACAGCCGGCCTGGATGGAGACGAAGGGCGAGTGGTTTCCTGTGAAGAAGGACGTGTCGACATCGAAGCCGTGGATCCGCCCCGGGACGCCAAGCTGCACGATGCACCAGTCGTGACCTTCAACAGACGGTCCGCAAAACACAACAATAAGCAGAACATCACTCAGTAAGTTTCATAAAGTCCAACAGGAACTAAACTCAGTTCTCTAAACATGTCTAAATGAATTATTCTCCGAGAATTCAACAGAAATATTCCAAAAATCCTGGAACCCATAGAAATGTCACGAGTTCTTCTCTGACCCTTAAATCAACGCCACCAAGTTCACCCGTGATCTCTTCACTAGTTTCTGTGTAACTCTGCCGGCCGGGCGGTGCTCACCGACGTTTACAACGTTTCTGGTTCAGGAAGTTCATTTCTCATTTATCTTCTCTGTTGACATTTCAGAGAATCCTTATAAAAAGAGTTTTAATCCTTGAACCAGCTACAAGATAAATCAGGATCATAAAACATTCGGGACCAAAACCTCACGCCACAGAACCAGTTTCTTCCCGACTGCTGCTTCTCATCACCAAGACCTGGGACCCTTTACCTGCACTGATGTCCCTGAGACATTTTAACCTCCTGTGGTCAATAGCACGGTCTCTAGTATTTACCTTCAACATACTGCACAATCCCCTCCCTGGTGCTAATAGTATTTTTTATATTTTTATATCTTTAATATTTATTCTTGCACAAAAACACCACAGCAACTTCCTTGTGTGTTTAAACCTGCTTGGAAATAAACTTCTGATTCTGATTGAATTTTGTCTCATGTTATTTAATCTCTCGCTGAAGTCGAGATAAAGTCTTAAGATCTTAACATCAGACTTTTGGAAGTTGTCAGACATTGGTCTCAGTCTTTAAAATCCTGTGTGATAAAGTCTGAACGTGTTCTCGTCTGTCGACACGGAGGTTAGCCAGTTAAATTATGTTAAGTCAAAAGTTGGTAAACTTTTCAACATAATTTACAAATACTGACCGGGCGTTCTCTTCCTCCTCGTCTCCCATCCGTCCATCCACTTTCCGAAGTCAGTGAAGGCAGTGGCGATGAACTGTGGCGCCTCTCGCTGTACGAACACAAACATTTCATGTTCGGAAACAGAATATTCACTCGACTAACGAAGATGAACCACTCAACTTGGTGTTTTCTGTTTTTCTTCTTACAAGTACTGATTAATCCACCGCTGAAAAAAGTCCCTACACATGCAACAGTGAAAAATCAATCGACATCGTCCTGAACTCAGATCACTGATCATTGATTATTGAATATTGATGATTGTACCTTCAGCAGGTTGGCAGCCGGAGCAAACCACTCGTCTGTTGCAAAAATCACCTGAAAAAAAGTGGAAAACAGAAAAGTTCTCCACATCTTTTTCATCCATATTAAAGCTACAATACACAACAACTTAGGACAGAATGTCTACAATTTGTTTTTGAAATAAAAGTAGTATAAGTAGGGTTAAGTATAATTTTAAATCTTCAGTGTTACTTTTGTCCAGACCTCAGAACGTTCTGTATCGTGACTGAATCAGCTGTTGTGTGTGTGTGTGTGTGTGTTTAAATGATAATTGAATGTATTTCTGCTCGTCACCGAGGCGACTCACCCTCCCACCGACCGTCTCACAGGCCAGATCATTAAACTGCAGAAAGTCCGGCTCTGCGGACACCTTCACCGCTGCCGGACGTCTTTCTGCCATGTTGAGCTCTTCCACACTGAAGTTGGAAAATATGAAGAGAAACGTTTTGCTCCTATTGAAACATCAGGTTCCATCTGAGGGACAAAGTCCATCGACTGCTCGGTCACAGGTGGGGGGGGGGGGTACTGAATACACAGAGACTGTGCTGGACAAGTTATGAATATAGATACAAAATGTACAACATATATATATATATAAAAATATATGGACATCAACATTTAAACACATATAAGTTCTTTTTCTACCGTCGTTCATTTGAAACAAGTAAATGGTTCAGCTCTCCTCCTCTACAGTTACTCAATCAGTTCATCTTTTATATGAGACAATGACAGTTGTTGTTTAGAATCAGTCTTTTTACAATGTGTTATCAGCTTAACAGCAGTTTCAGAGAGATACGATAAAAAACTGTTCTGTGTGAAAACAACTCAGGAAACAGGAAATGATGTAAAAGTATTTATGAAATGTATTTTATTGAACTTCACAAACTGCTTTATTACATCAAATGAATGAATTCAAGGTGACAGAAACTCTTAAGTTAGTGTCATTATGTGTGTGTGTGTGTGTATAAATATACATTTCATTGTGTTATAATGGGACGGTAAACCAGATCTCATTACTTGTCTGGAGGATTCAAATCTTTCTCATTTGTAGCACTGAAAATTCTAGAATATGAATTGCTGAAATTTCTTTTTCTAATTGTGCTTGGAGGATTGTGGCCCAGGAGGAAGAGTGCATTAGACAGACTAATTGGAAACTCGGTGGTTTGATCCCTTGTTGGTACAGTCCACATGTCCGTGTACTTGGGTTGCGTGTGATTATGACTCCTTCAGTTCTTAAGGCAACAGTGTGAGTTCCTTTACTCCGAGCACAGAGACACTGAACCAAACCACACCCTGAAGCCCGGGTAGAAAAGATTAGTGAATTTGATGTTGAAGGTGTGGAGGTGTATCGGTGCGTCGAAGGAGACTCTGTAAAAGGACAAGATGCCGGCGAGACAGTCCACGTACACTCCCACTCTGTGAGAGATGGAGGCCGAGGGGAGAGGGATGAGTGTTTCTGTGTTGTTGTGCCACACGGAGTAAAAATAATCAGAGCAGCTCAGACACCAGGACTGATCGTTCCCTCCGAACCTGCAGGCCTTTCTGTAACCTTTCCTTCTGATTCCTCTGAGAGTCACCGCGATGTCAACCTGTCCACTCCACTCCACCTCCCAGTAACAGCGACCACTCAGACCATTTCTACACAGCAGCTGACAGAAGATGTCGAATCTTTCCGGGTCATCAGGGTACGACTGCTGCTCGTTCACCAGCTCCACCTTCCTGTAGCCGTCAGACAGTCGGAGGTTCCTGTGAGCTGTGATTGGGTCGAAAGTGAGGTCACAGGAAACTGGACGAGGAAAGAGCAAAGAATCAGTTCAGCTGCTGAAGTTTTTTCATAGTTTCCAGCAGAATGTCTCATCATTACATTCACTATGTCAATGACTCAGACAATCTGCAGACCAGGTGTTTTACTGAACTGATATCAGGGGTTCTAGATCAAACCATGATTCTTCTGGTTGTTACGTAAGAAGATATCAGCAGCCATGTTCCGTACCACTGACCACCAGAAACAAAAACACTTGTGGTGGTGGCCTTCATGTCATAAAGCCATAATGTCAAACTTATCAAACAGGAACTGAAAGAATCAAAGTGGATGTACACTTACATTTCCTCAGACCAGGAGTCAGCATCTGCTCTCCATCATTGTCCACTCTGGAGGAGAAAACAGGGTTAGACCAGCGTCGTCTTTTTAACAATGGAAACAGGCAAATTAAACAACGTTCACTTTTGAACAACTGATCCATCCAGTTCTTCCTGCTGCCTCGGTCTGAGAGCCCTGAGTCTACACGTCTGGTTGGAGTCTGCGGCGGCTTTCAACCATTTTTGTAACTTTCTGGATTTGACAAGTGAATGAATGAATCTGATTAATGTTGAATTATTGGTGTTCAGGCCCGGACTACAGATGAGGTGCTTCAGGAGCTTCAGTTGTCCCGAGCGTTACTCCCTCTACCAGGAGAGGAACTCCCTCTACCAGGAGAGTAACTCCCTCTAACAGGAGAGGAACTCCCTCTAACAGGAGAGGAACTCCCTCTACCAGGAGAGGTACTCCCTCTAATAGGAGAGTTACTCCCTCTAACAAGTTACTCCCTCGAACAGGAGAATAACTCCCTCTACCAGGAGAGGTACTCCCTCTANATAACTCCCTCTACCAGGAGAGGTACTCCCTCTAATAGGAGAGTTACTCCCTCTAACAAGTAACTCCCTCTACCAGGAGAGTAACTCCCTCTACCAGGAGAGTAACTCCCTCTANCTCCCTCTACCAGGAGAGTAACTCCCTCTACCAGGAGAGTAACTCCCTCTACCAGCCAGAAGGGTTTTGTTTCAGACAACGTTAGGTCATTAGTGTGACAAAGAAGCTGTCCATACTTGAGACTGTCCAGTCTCCAGTACTGGTCGTCCAGTGCAGCGGACAGCAGCTTCACTCCTGAATTCTGCAGGTTGTTGTTTCTCAGGTCCAGCTCTCTCAGGTGGAGGTGGTTGGAACTCAGAGCTGAAGCTAGAGAGGCACAGCTTTCGTCTGTGATCAGACAACCTGACAGACTGAATACACAAAACACGTTTCCTCATAATGATACAACTCAGTAAACATTTCATTAGAAGGAAATACAAATAAAATGAATCCTTCATCAATCAAGCGTCCCACCCTGAGCATGAAGGGAAAATGTCCACTGCATGAATATGTTGAATAGCATTAAATACGTCTTCAGTCCACTACCTTGCAATATGTATCAGTGATGATGTTGTCACATGGTAGAAGATGTTAATGACCAGTCATTTGAGAAACCTCTGTTATCCTGACCTGAGAGTCTCCAGTTTGCAGTGTGGACTCTTCAGTCCTGCAGACAGCAGCTTCACTCCTGAGTCCTGCAGGTCGTTGTTGCTCAGGTCCAGTTCTGTCAGTCTGCAGGACGTAGAGCAGAGGACTGAGGACAGAGCTTTACAACTTCTCTCTGAGAGGTTACAGCCACTCAACCTGAAGAAGAGCATGTGATGAAGAACATGTTTTAGTTGTGACAAAGTCAAAAATCACATTGTTGTATCATCATTGTATTCATCCACCTACACAGCTTTGTTGGAGGCTTTGACCACCGGCAGCAGCTTCAGAAGAGCCTCCTCTGAACCAGAGTACTTCCTCAGGTCAAACACCTCCAGACCTTTTCCTGATGACAGTAAGATGAAGTTCAGAGCTGACCATTGAGCAGGAGACAGTTTCTCTGTGGAGAGAGGTCCTGATCTCAGGGACTGTTGGATCTCCGCCTCTAGAGAACTATCACTCAGTTCATTCAGACAGTGGAACAGGTTGATGCTTCTCTCCGTAGACAGATTCTGACTACTGATCTTCTCCTTGATGTACTGGACTGTTTTCTTTTTTATCTGTCCGTTACTTCCTGTCTCTGTCAACAGGCCTTGTAGATGTTTCTGATTGGTCTGCACTGAAAGACCCAGGAGGAAACGGAGGAACAAGTCCAGGTGTCCATTTGGACTCTGTAAGGCCTTGTCCACAGCACTCTGATAGAGCTCTTTTAGTTTAACTCTGTCTTTAAAGACTCTGTGTAACCGAGATGCTGCTGGTTGTTTTGACATCAGATTGACTCCAGAGTTGATGAAGGTCAGATGGACGTGAAGAGCAGCCAGAAACTCCTGAACGCTCAGATGGACGAAGCAGAACACCTTGTCCTGGTGCAGGCCTCGCTCCTCTTTAAAGACCTGTGTGAACACTCCTGAGTAAACTGAGGCGGCTCTGATATTGATGCCACAGTCCGTCAGGTCGGATTCGTAGAAGATCAGGTTTCCTTTACGCAGCTGCTCAAACGCCAGTTTTCCCAGA